GGGGCGGCGTACCAGGTCTCAATCTCATAGCCCCCAAAATTAATGTACTTGATCCTAGACGGAGGGCCTGAGACCTTCTGTGACGCATGCTGTACGGTTTCACCGCTGGTTTCAGTTTGCATGACTCTTCGTTGCCATTCCTCCTCTGCTTTGTGACGGGCTATTTCGAACTTCTCCCGATCCATGTTGGTCGGCAACGTCTTTGATGTATCCGCGTCCACCTCAGAAAGAATACCTCCGTAAGGTTTAGACTTGGTCTCATCCATCTCGCGGTCGTTGAAAGAGTAGAACGGGGTGTAGTAGGAGGCAGGCGTTATTGGAGCAAAATGAGCTTGAGGCTCGGGAACAGGCAGGGGTGGCTTAGGAGTCCGGTGGTTGCGCGTTTGAGATCTGCTGCGAGAATTGAAGATTTTGGACAACCTAGACTCATCTAAGCGAAACGCTAGGACGAGACGCCCATATTGCTTCAGCACGATGCGGCAATTTTCCTGTTCAGTCTTACGTGTACGCCGAGAGCGCGTTCGAACTGGAGACATGCCATCAACAACCTCGCCCATCTCACGGGATATTGCCCGATCGGAGCGCAGTGAAGTCTGCCGTTGCCGTTTACGTAGGACAGGCGCATGCTCATCAAATTCTGCCGACGCCGAAAGGGCTTTCCTCTTTCGTAGCGACCGAGAGCTGTTTAGGAGTTCATCGTTGACTGTTACTGAATTAAAGATTGAATGAAAGTCAGAGCCTTCTTCGCCAGTATGGGCTGGCAGCAGTTCTTTGCGCATGTTCTTAGCTCGGCCCTTTCGTTGCACTGGTACGTTCCCCTTGGGGCTGGGCCTCAGCTTCTGCCGAACGCAGGTGGGACATCGCCATGAATTGGGTCCTACCATAGTTTAGCACATCATGAATTAGTGGTTTGATCAGGAATGAGATAAGATACCTTCCGCGTCATCCAATGCACTCTGTTCCCGGGCGCATTGCCGGTGAGCTGTCGGGTTTCCGAGTCAGTAAGGATCGTCCAACAGCCGGCTGGATAATTTATGGGGCCGCGAAACCAACATACAATGATCGCCACAGACTCCGCAAGTCAAATACTCCTCGTACTCCTCACTAGGATCGTTGTCTTCGTCCTGGCCACAGAATCTAGACACAGAGCAATTCATATTAGTTATCGGTGTTTCAGGCGACTGCCCCTGATGTGGCCCGGAGCCCGGCAGGTCAGGGGCACGGGCAGCCAAATTGAGGTTCTAGACTCACATGCAGTTGCCGCGGACCGTGTTCTCCGCCTCCGCATCCTCATGGTCATTGCTTTCTCCTTCCCATTCATCGTCCGTTTCCTGACTGCTTGACGACGAACCCGATGCATCATCTTGTTCTTGCTCGCTGTCGCTGCGATGCTCAGAAGCAGGGTCTTCGTCTGCGTCTGCATCTGCTGGGCCCGAAACAACATCTTCGTCGTCCTCGGTCGGGGTTTCCTTGGGTAATTTCACGGCGCCAACCGGCTCAGCATCAAGCGGAGCGCCGTCCACGTCCATCTCAGGATCGGTTTCGCCTTCAGCATCCAGTTCATCGTCAGGGCCAGCTGCCGGGGTGTTCTCAACAGGCTCGCCCGATAGGGCGCGGTGCACAGCGTCCTGTAGCTGTTGGTCCATCTGATAGAGATCTGTGTCCTCTTTCCCTTCAGCATCCTGCTCACTGTCCACCAAATCCGCGGGGGTATTGTTGTCCAGGTCGTCATCGACCGGCGGCACTATTGCCGGCATGTTGAGTTACAGCGGTTGCAACGGTCGCCAAAACCAACGGGTATTAAATTGTCTCGGACGCTTCGAATCGAAAATAGAGGGAATCCGTAGCAGGCACAAGGCAGCCCAGCAGTTGAAACTATACAGGCTCCCCGCAAAAGTAGACAATCATCTGGCGCCGCAGTGAATGGGCATGGGGAATCATAGAACAAGTTGCCCGGGGCGCCAGCGAATGCGACTTAGAGATCGGCGAGTAAAGGAGTTGCGCTGAGAACCCAGAGTTAATAAGTTGAGCGCAGGCGCAATCAAAACAGCTGTCAGTGGAAGGGAAAGATGGGAGAGGAGCGGGATGGAACAATGGCGGATGGAACGCGTCAAGCTATCAGATACGAGGGAACATACCTCTCCCACGAGCACAGCCAATGTACCCTAAATTCAATAGCAAGGACCGTAGGGAAAGAATCTCAGCAGCTGAAGAAGGCCGTCTACAGGCGACTTCCCGGGATCTACGCACTCGCCCCTTCTGCTTCTCCTGTCCCTGTGAGGTTGAGTGCCGCTGCTGACTCATCCACGGCCGGGTCACCGCCCCGCCTAAACCGCTTTGGGTCATCCGCCAGACTCTCGTTCGAACCTCCGGCGGGCTTCAACTTCGCCAGTCAATTCCTCCACGACTTCATTCCCCCGCGTTTACCCGTTGCGTCTGCCGCTTCACTACACTAGCACTACACATCATGGGTGTCCCCTTCGAGGCCTTGCTTCCTTTTGGAATCATCATCGGTGTAGGTCCTGCCAATTGTGGCTCCGCAATTCGTCCTCGCGCTCGGTTTGACTGACCATGACGTGACAGTCCCTCACTGCTGGTGCTGGTGGTATCTGGGCCGTTAAGTATTATGCCAACGGCTGGAAGCAGCCGCGCTGGAACCTTGACCTGTGGGATAGAGTGAGTTATACCCCTTTTGGGCGATTGAATGACCCTGCGCGCTAACAGCAGAGCAGCAAAGTATGTGATCCATCCTTGGCGATTCCACCCCAATGCATGACGAACGATTTCCGGAAATTTCCCGCATGCGCGATCTACGTCTTGGAGAGGAGCTACAAAGCTAACGTTTGACTTCGCCGCAGTGATGGAGAGAGATCAAAGAATGACAGGAATATTCCGAGGTCAATCGGCCAACCCCACAGCCCCCACGGGCTTCGAACTCAACAACCCCTGGAAGGTACAGTGCTACTTGCTTTTTATTGCCATGCGCGCTTCCTGTTCAGACGACTGATCTGTGCTGCAGCTCGAGAAACGGATTTACTAAGGCGATCCCTGCGCCATGTCTGCAATTTTCTATTTGTGCCTCATTTGTTCGTCCTGCATTAGCTTTGAGAGAAATATCCACGCCTCGGGTTAGAAAGAATAACCTCATTCTTTGTTATCTGTACAATTATTGCGAGCCAGCGAGTTCCTCGCTGCTACGGTAGAACTCCAAAAATATCCAAACATTCTATTTGATTTGAGAGACCAACCCGCGAATGCCTTCGATTTCATGCTCTTGGAAGTGCATATCGAACCATTTGGCCAACGCCTTGACGCGGTCATCCTCGCTTTTCAAGGTTTCGACCACCTCCGAATGTCCGGCTGCCCTTACCTTCACTGTGTTTCCGGCCAGGATACAGAGCCCTTTGACTCCTTGTCCGCTGTCATCAAGCAGCATCCGCGCGCAAACCAGCGTCTGGGTGAACCAGCTCGTTCGCCGCTGACTGGTGGCAAAGTTCATGACCTCGAAATCCTGCGGGAGAAACTCCACCTCGGAGAACGAGTACATGGGCATCCAGGTGCTGTCCCGCGCATACCGGACCTGGTAAATCCAAACCTTCTGCGTCTGGTCCACGAACTCGGGCAAAGTATCGTAGATGAGCCGCATTTCCGACGGGGCTATATTCACCCGCGCGCTTCCATGCTGCAGCGGCAAGGGGCAGGTAGGCCCGTTGCTGCCGAACCCGACGTCCACCTGTCCGATACGAGGGTTAGCAGCGTGGTGTAGACAAAGAGCAATGTCGTAATATCATCCGATTTGTGCTCGGGGGGAAATTCGACAGCCATACCGCGTATTTCTCGCCGTCGATGGTCACAATCAGGACCATGTGTCCCCTGCGGTGTAACATTGCGCATGAGTTTCTCGGCGTTGGGTTCGCAACAGCATGCAACGGAAACGGTCGCGCCACTTACATGCCTACAAAGAACCAGTTGCGGCTGTCGGTCGACGCATCGGAGGCTGCAGTGTTCACTCGCCCTCCGGTGGGGTAGACCGTGTACCCCAGCGATCGGAGGACATGGTAGAACAGCATAGTATTCTCCATGCAGTAGCCGTCGAGCCGGCGGGACACCAATTTCTCGAAGACGCATGCCGGACGGATGGAGATGGAGTGGTGCGCTGAGTAGTGAAGCCCCGAATTCCCCCACGGAATCGAGGTTAGGTGTGCTCGCTGCAGCTCGGTCAACGTGGCCAGAGGGCGTTTCTGGATAGAGTCGCGGACATATTCCAATCGCCTGCTACCAGGAGTGGCATTAGGGAACCCGATGCGCTCCAGGTAGAGCTCCAGCTTGTCGGGAGTATATGTTGCTGTTGCAGCCATGGTTCGTCGCTGGGTTTGAGTTGAGGTCAATTCGATTCCGGGGCCGAATCAAAGCTTGTGAATGCCGGGAGTGTCCGGCAGTTCATCTGGATGGATGATATTGTGGAGAATTACCCGTTTGGGGGCACCTCGGTCACGTTCTTGCCTGCTTCTATAGTATACCAGTAAGTCATCGACCGTTTGTTATCTTCATGGGCATCTACATATGCTACACAACCAAGAGGCGTATCTCAAACAAGATACATTTAAGTTAATCAACTCACTCACACTTAGGAATACCCTTTGATCCGACTCTCCAATGACCTCTGCCACTATACAGCTGCCAATGATGTCAATCCTCCGATCCTCGGTTATTCCACATGCTCGACGACAATCAGCAGCTTGAAGCATAAAGGCATGCTATCTACCATTGAACCTGGCACGAACCTCGACGGTCCCCTTCGCAATCCATACTATTCTCAGAGCCTGAATCCCACGCTTCAACCCCTACTAGTTAAACCAGAGGCTCTCCGCATAAACCTCCGCGACTCTTCCATTGCCCCGGATTCACCCCGCATCGACTTATCTCACTCCACCACAATCACCACCATCATCCACTCCCCCTCCCAAATTCTCAAACAAAGACACCAACTCCCTACCAACATGCCAACACCAACCCCCCTCGAAGAAAAGCTACGCATCCTCCACAACTACTCCGCCTGCGACGTACGTAACACCACGCACCTTGCACAAATACATCAACAACCCACCCACCCAGAGATCCCCAGATCCCCACTCACAGCACAAACAACCAGGTCTCCGATGCGCTCCTCAAACTCCAAACCCCAGCCCCAGGAGCCCCCGCCCGCGCCGGCCACCTCGCCGACCTAAGTAAGTAGCAGCACCATCACCGAAATCCCACCCAGCCAGCAAAAACAAAGCAAAGCAAAACCTAACCACCAAGAAACAAAGCCCCCTACCCCCACCCCCACCCCCATCCCCCAAGCCCTAGCACCACCAGAATCATCGCCCCAGCCTCAACCATCAAATTCATTTCCAAACACGACGATATCCCCGCAGCGAGCAACGACAATGCGCACACCATCCCCCCAAACACGCACTGGGTCGACACCGTCGACCCGGACACCATCGTGGTTATCGACCAACCCCCAACCCAACACTGCGCGGTCGTGGGCGGGATCATGGCGCTGCGCATGAAGCACCTAGGCGTGAAGGGGGCGGTGGTGAACGGGCGCGTGCGCGACCTCGCCGAGTTTATGGAGTGTGGGCTCCCTGTGTGGGCGCGGGGGACATCGACGGTGGGGAGTGGGGCGGAGGCGAAGGCGGTCGCCCGCAATGTCGCTGTTGATGTGGGTGGGGTGGTTGTTGAGCCTGTATGTTATCCCTATCCTGGATTGAGATAAAGGGAGGGGGGCGGGGGGGTTGCGTTGCGTTTGGCTAACCTGCTGCTGCGGCGGGTATGTGGTATACACAGGGAGATATCATTGTCTGTGATCCGGTGGAAGGCGTGGTGGCTATTCCGCGCGATCTGCTCGATGCCGTTTTGGAGACGATGCCCAAGTTGGTGGCGATGGATGATCGGGTGAAGGAGGCTGTGGGGCAGGGTGTCAGTGTGCTCGATGCCTTTAAGCGGTTTCGTGGGAAGATTTAGATCTCCTCTCTCTTGTGGGTGTTGGTGGGTGGGAAATGGTGTCCATGTGCTTGAGTTTGAGGGTTCTGGGGCTTACGCCTGCTCCATTTATCTATACGGAGTTTGACACGGGTATATACTATCTGGAAGAGTTCTAGATGATGAGGATGGAAGATATCTCAAGGTATTAGACTTAATCCAACGCCTGAACGTCCAGAACAACGGCGGAGAGCACAAACGTTAAGAGAAGCCCGCTCTTTATATATTAAGACAAAAAGGAGAGAAGATTCACATGAAGCCAGCTCATTCTAATTTTTCCCCCTCGTCCAACTGCTTACTCCGCCACCCACACGGCGGCCATACCCATACCCGTACCAACACACATGCTGGTGACACCGATCTTCTTGTTGGTCCGCTTCAGCTCCGTCAGAAGTGTGCTGACCTGTCGAGATCCAGTGCAGCCGAGCGGGTGACCGAAAGCGATAGCGCCACCCTTGGGGTTGATCTTCTCCTGCGGCAGCCCCAGCTCGTTGACGCACCACACGCACTGCGAAGCGAAGGCCTCGTTGATCTCGTAGATGTCGACGTCGTCCTTGGTGATGCCCGCCTTCTCCAGCGCCACAGGGATCGCCTTCCACGGGCCGATGCCCATGAGCAGAGGTTTCACACCCACGACGCTGCCGGTGACGTACTTGCCGATGATCTTCTGGCCGAGACGCTCGGCGGTGGACCGCTTCATCAGCAGCACGGCGGCGGCGCCGTCGGAGATCTGCGAGGCGTTGCCGGCGTGGATGGAGCCGTCCTTGGCGAAGGCGGGCCGGATCTTGCCCAGCGACTCGGCGGTGATGCCGTCGCGGATCCCGTCGTCGGCCTTGACGGTGATGGTCTTCTCCTCGTTGGTCTTGGGGTCGGTCCACTTCACCTGCAGGGGGACAATCTCCTCGTTGAAGAGCCCGGCCTTCTGCGCCTTGACCGCCTTCTGGTAGGAGGAGGCAGCAAAGGCATCCTGCGCTGCACGCGTGATCTTCCGGTCCTTGGCCATCTGCTCCGACAGGACACCCATGGGCACCTTGCAGTTGGCGGACTCCGGGTGGCTCTCCAGCAGCTCGGAGAATTCGGTCACGGCGCCGGGACTAGTTTCAGGATCCGGGTCAGTTCGTGCTCAGGTAAAATGAGAAGGGGTGAGTGCGACACTTACCCATATTGCGAGGACATGCTCTCAACGCCAGCACCAATACCAACCTCAATCATACCGGATCGAATAGCGTTGGCAATGTCAACGATAGCTTGAAGGCCACTGGAACACTGACGGTTCAAGCTCTTCACAGCCGCGGTCTCAGGGAATCCAGCGACGAGCGCAGCCGCACGGAACTCAGTAGCACCACCACCAGGGGGCAGAACCGATCCGACAGCGATGTCTTCAACGACGCTGGGGTCGATGTTGCTCCGGTCGATCACCGCCCTGAAAACACCTGCCAGCAGGTCGGCGGCGGCGGTATCCTTGAAGCCGCCCTTTCCACCCTTGGTGAGAGCCGTCCGCAGAGCACATGTCACAACAATATCATCGGGGTTCTTCTCCGTGAGGGCTGCAGCGCCTTTCTTGCCTCCGGGACCGAAGTGAGAAGCCACCTGGCTGAGACGTTGCTGGGCTAGAATACTGCTGTTAGCTCAGAATCACGGGGTGTGTTGCCTTGGAGGGGTGATAACATACGAGAGGACATAATGACGTCAATAAATGAAGACAAGGAAGGGGGTGAGATAAGTGTGTCCTGGCAGCAAGGGAAGGGGAGGAACGATATTTTGACAAAAGCAGGATCAGAAAAAAGATGCAGCAGGACTCCTTTTCGCTCTTATAAGACGGAAGTCCGGGGAAGAGACAGCGTGGAGAAAGTCATTCAGGTTAACCCCGGCCTACCAGCTCTTTAGTTACTGGTTGGTGAATAATAATAGGTAATCCTGTGAAAGTACCGAGGCTCGGCCGCATTATTGTTAGTCCGCGGGGATGGGTCACGGGATCGCCGAAAGCATGGAGATTCATGTGAAGACGGATGTTGGGGATCCATCCTTGACTGGCCGATGACCAGGCTGATTATCTGCATCGTCGTCATGAGATCAGCAGTATAATACCAGATTTACTTGCATGTGATGGAGTTAGTCATTGTCATGGATACTGGAGCATACTATCTCGGCTGCTGATAAATTCAAGCGCTCCCTATATATGCTTCCAGACTAGATGAAATATCCGTCCTGTCTCTAGTATCATCATGGATGACAGACACCATTACTGCTTTGACGAAAAGACATGCTAGCTCAAAGCTATGTGTAGCTTCCTACTCCGTATGTAACCAACATTAGTCCCTCCATGTACATATACCCGGGCTCTCTCCCTCAAGCACAAACAGCAAGCATAAATCCAGAAGGCGGTGAACCCCAAGGCGGCGAGCGAGTGCGCGCGCGCACCGCGCACCGCGCTCCATCTTTTTCTGCCGGCCTATCCCGCGATAACCCAAGAAAATAAGCCTTGCGCCTCAACCCAACCGCCGAGCATCGCACACCCAAGTAATCCTCCAATCCTTCAACCTCCAACCTCGCACCACAACGAAACACTACCCACCCAGCAGTCCCAATGCGCCTCGCCCGCCTCCTCCCGACCTCCCTCCTACCACCAGCTGTTCCAACAGCCCGTCCCTTCCCCACACAATGCCTCCTCCGCACCCACAATAACCCCCCGATCACCATCCGCCCGGGCATCCTCTCCGCGGCGCACCAAGTACGTCTCGTCTCCCTCACCACCGGTACCCTCGAAACTAACACCACCCACAGACAAAAAGCCCAATCCGGACCTTCACCACCACCCACCGCAAACCCTCCCCCTCCCCCTTCCGCCTAACCAGCACCCCGAGCCCTAAGACCCCTCCGCCCTCGACCGACGAATCCCACGCCGAACATGACCATGCCCACGACCACAACAGCAAAAACGCCTACTACAGCCCCTACAAACCCAAGCGCCAATGGCCTCCGGACATGTCGAAGCTCTCGCCGAAGCACCAGTTCCGGCTCGAGCGCAAGTACCGGCGGCGCGCGGCGCTGAAGTACGCCCGGCCCAAGTGGACCAAGTTCACTAAGTTGGTGCAGTGGTTTAGTATTGGGTGTAAGTTTTCCCCCGCTGGAATTTTAGATTTGGAGGAGGGGGGTGGAGATGGAGGGGGGGAAAGGGGAGTGGGGACTTGGGGGGGGGTTTGTTGGACACCGTGGCTGTGGTGAATGGGTTACTGACTTGATCATTATCTGTGTGTGTGACAGTTGTTCTGATTTATGCGATGCTGTTTATGGAGTGGGATGAGAGGGGAAGTCCCTTTGATGAGGTAAGGCTTTATTTGCTCACCCTTTGTTCTGCTTGCGAGTGCGCTGGGCAGTTGGTGTGGGGGTTGGACGGGGCTGATAAGTTGGATAGATTCGGAAGGCTTTCTTTGGAGGGTTGAAGGGGGCATTTTCCACGCCTGCGCCGCCGAGGCCCGTGAGGGAGGCCGCCGGGGAGAAGGATCGAGAGTAAGTGGTTCTACCACCCATGGCTGTGCAGCGGTTGCTATACATCGAGCGAGGATAGAGCGGACTCGAAGATGCGTGGAGAACAAGGCCTAGGACCCGCATACTGTATATTACCCTGTCCATGTACAAGAAAGATAGAATAATAACATCCAAGAAGACCTTGAGTACTATACTGTTGGTCGTGAAAAGCGCGCAGCCCTAGCGTGTCTGTCCAACAGGAGAAAACGATCGAACTGCCTGACCATGCTCGCAAGGAAACGAATACAAAAAAAGAACGTTAGATGATTTCCCAGTCAGGTCTGTGGCCCTGTTGCCGTCGTCAAGTCATTTCGCCGTGGCCGTCATGGAACGGACAAATGCACCCAAAACACCTTAGAAAATGCCAGCGCCTTTCAATCCCAAATACTCCGCAATCGTCAGATAGAAAGATGGGACAAGAAAACTAATCAAATCAAGCAATGTTGGACCTTCCCGCAACGATTGCATAAACAGGCCCTGTCAGGATAAACAGTCTCAGCAAAGGTGCTATGACTGGCCAGGGTACCTAGCATGTGAACAACACCGATCGCGAAACAGTCAGGTCTACAGCCAGTTGCCAATGACATTGCTCGGAGGCACTCCGGTACTGGCAGGGACGTCCAGCGCCAGTTCCAGCTTGGGAGGCTGCTCGTCCAGGAGACCCTTCTTAGGGCTTCCACCTGCTGCCTTGACCGGGGATTTGGATGGTGACCGAATCTCCGGGCGAGGAGGTCCCTCACGAACAGGCAAGTGCGGCCACCCATCATCGATTGCTGCGGCAACCCATGTGCGGAGACAATCGTGCACAGAGGAATAAAACTTCTCCTTGCAAGTCCTCAAAGTCCCGCCCATGACCTTTTCGAACCCTGAAGCTCGGAGCTCAGCTCGCAGTTGATTTCTCTCCTGGGTAGTGGGCAAAGACGCCACGATCCCGTTCAGTAGGTCTAGATGAGCCGCCAGATAATTGGTAGCATCCCATTCGACACCGCCGACATAGGGAGCAGCTGGCACCGGCGGCCGAGGGACCGGGAAGTGTCGCTCTCGGTATGTTGCTGATGAAGGTGTTTCATCCTTCGGGGTCGGAATGACATTCAGATGATGCAAGAAGATCCAAAAAACTTCTTTGCTCACATTCGTAACCTCTTTACACCAGACTCGGTAAGGACGTGACTGGTAAATGTTCGCAATGAAAGTTAGCGGTTGGTTTTCTTCGGATGGCGAAGGGTCACGCAAGTACGAGAGGATCCGCGAGGCGCGGTCAGCAGCCATCTCATCCGAGGATTCAGCCGAAAGCTGGGTGAAAATCAAGTTGATAATAATCCCTCGGGTGGTAAATTCACTGGGTCCTTTCTTCTCCTCGTCAAAGAGCATCTTGAGCAAGGCTGGAAAGAGTTCTCCTTCAATTTTGGAGAGGTGCTCGAGTGCGATAGAGGTAGTGCAAAGAGCTTTGAGACATAGCAAAGTCTCGTGAAGCAAATTATCCTCGTGTTCTTCTCTGTGGGAAGTATTAGCACTGGGAACTTGAGATTTCCCTCACCAATCCGGATTTACTACTCACCTCCACTCAACTTTCATGATGCGATAAAGTAACTGGACTATCTCGTCCATGCCACCATCTGCAATGAACGCGTCAACCCAGCTGACAGTCTCATTGCGCAGTAGAATCCGAAGCTTGTGTATTTTGCCAATCTCTACCATCTCAGGTTTCTGAATCTCCCTCAAATAGTGGACAAAGTCTGATGGGTCAGTGGCTGTATCGCGCGCAGTCGCGGAAAGCGAAGTGGTAGAAGCATTGGGCGTCAAAAGTTTAGAAAAGCCCGCGGGCAAAGAGTAATCGGCGGATTTGGGACGACGGTAAAAGCTTCCACTGTCCGGACGCTTCTTGGGCGACGAGCTGCCTTTGGAAAAGCTGAAACCACGACTCCTGGATCGGGATCGTGAACCTTTGCTATCATAGTTCTGTCTTTCTTCCTTGTGCTCCTTCCTACGCCCGCGACGACCGGTACTGTCATTCGCACCGCTGCTGGCAGTATGTGGGGTCGCGTTCTCTGTTCGATCTTTCAGGATGAAATCAGCCTTGATGTTGGTGTCCAAAGATCGCATTTTGTCTCGCATGTTGTGAGGAATGTTCCGCGCATCCTGTCCCAATAATTAGAGCTGCCTTGTTTGAGTGGGGGTCGCGCGACGGGAAGGCTCACCAGCAATTTCTCGAATTCCGAGTCGAGTTCCTTTGGATTTAGGCGTTTCCGCAATTCAGCCTCCTGCTCCTTAGCATTCAAAGCGGAGATGGCTGCCTGAACGCGAGAGACCTTTGGGCTCTGCTCTCGCGCAAGCTCAGCCTTCTCACCCTTCTCTGGCCGTGACAACGCTCGAGGTCTTCCGAATCGCTTGGATGGCGACGATCCCGATGTGTCCGCCGTCGCCGTCTTGTCTGAAGATAAGGCCTGTAAAGGGGCCAGGACTTCCTTCATCCTGCGGCTACCAGCGAGGTAGTCTGATTTCGGTCGCGGCTTGGGTTCAGTTCGTAAAGTGCGAGGAGTGGGAGATGGCTGCTGTTCGTAGTCCCAGATATTACTTTGATGTGTCGGTCCATATGCCCTAGGTGTACATGGTGATGTCTCCTCTTGCATGGTTCTACGCTTGTTCTGTGTTGGAGAAAGTCCGGCTTGGTCGGGGTACAAGGGCGGCACAAACTGATCCCAGGCGGGTGAGGGCATGCCGTTAACTAAATCCGATGGACTTCGGTTCTCCTTATCCCTAGCGATCTTGGTACCCTCCGTTTTGTTTCCGCGTTGTGATCTTCTCAGGATAGCAGAGAGGCTGTTGGCTGATTTCGCCTTCTTTGGCCTCAAGTTCTGCGCGTCAACATCCAGGGCCTCCTCCGGCTTGGGTTCTTTTCGCTCCATGTAGCTCTTGAGGGACTTCAGGGAGACCGCACTCTTGGTCTTCTTGTGCAGTGTATTCTTCCCCTGCTTTCCCGGCGATCTCTGGGCTGAGCCAATGTCTGCCGATTCCCGGTTTGGGGCTATTTCGGTGAGTGGTTGTTGGTTGAATGACGCAAAGGCCCCATCGCGAGGCGGTGTAGTGGAACCGTCGGAAGGCTGGCTTGTATAAAAGGCCTTGGAGGGGAAGGCGTCATCCGCAGAGGAGTTTCGTTTGTGAGATTTCGGGGACAAGAATGCTCGGAAAACCGAGGGCCTGGAAGGGTTTCGTGTGGCGTCGTCAAAGATGCTGGGGGATTCCACAGTGGGTGCCATTTCGAAGAATTGCCCTTATGCCTGCAGCTGACTTGAGAATCGTGGATCTGGTTAGTATGGATGTGGAGTAGGGTGATGGAGTAGGACGGAGTAGTTAGGCACCTGGCATAAATTACTCACGGTGCAGTTGCCCCAGCACAACAAGACAAAGAATCACCAGCGACGCGGAATGACGGCAATGACGACGAGAAGGCGAGGGACGGTTTTAGGCGAAACGAGACAGCGACATGCAGCTGAAGGTAACAACAGACATCGAAGAAGGCCCAGAAATTGCGAAATATCTATGAATGCAGCAAAGACGAAGATCAAACCCGACACGACAAGGAAGAGGAAGAAAAGACGCGTGAAAGCAGAGCCCGCTGTAAGACTGACTAGCAGTGACAGCCAGCACCGATAGACACGACAAGAGCAGACGGGGGGGCAAGGGACACACACACACAGACACACACACACCGGAACGAACGCCAACCTCAGGTGGGTGGGCCGGGCATTTGAAGACTTCCAAGGCTCGGGGACAAGGCAAGAAGAACGAGCATGCTTCCTCCACTGTCTAACCTAATCGGCATATGGGCGATGGAGACCATACGCCATTGCCAAACGGCTGGAGATGAACTGCGCCGCGCATGAAGCGGAGGGTGTAAACATGCTGCGGGCGGCGGGGTTGTCCCGGGCAACCATCCTGTTTTCGGCCGGTCGCGCCGCCGGAAGTTGATGGATGCGATAGATTGATTGATATCAGCATCTTCCATATCACCTGCCTGATCGCCTGCAGATTACGAGGATGATGCTGATGCTGATGATGCTGATGATGCTGCTGATACTCCTGCTGCCCGACCATCTCCGTCATAAAGACTGGATTTCTAAGCCGAGAACGATGTCATAGTGGAGGAAGTGATGGCATCTGTCATAATTCCCAGACGGCTGATCTGCCATTTGCCTGGGCCCATGATGTTATAATTTGGAGGGGGCTGGACGGATTTCATATGAGATGATATGGTAACCACCTAAAGTCAATTACAGAGTACTTTGTACTGTACTTGTGACAGTCCGGATTATTGCCACAATAGGGTGGGGGGTCTAGTCAATAAGGTAGGACTGGGTCCCGGAAATACATGTGTCTAGGAGGCGGAAAACAATGGTGACATTCTATCTGAGACTTCTAACAATAAATTAATAACGGCGTAGGACTAAGGCTGGCTAGTCGTAGTTTAGTTGTTTGTTATTCAATGATGACAATTCTGGATGATGTAGTGAGTGAGCTCCGTAGTGTAAGCTGCTATACTTTTCTACAGGGCGGATGGCCCAATCAATAATCCCTCGCAAGGCAATCATCGCGGGGAAACGCGGCGCCTGAGGCGGGAAGGCTGCAAGGGAGCCCAGCCTAGGGAGCCGTCCGTACCTTAGACTAGATTTCTTAGGTTCCTTAAGTTCCTTAGGTTCCTCAGGTTAGTGACAATCCAGACAAACAATGGCTGTCGTCTACTGTACATTCTCATCAAACAACAACCCTCTTTATAATCGGTCTCTTCCCCTCTTCCGTCCCCTCTTCCCGCTTATCGGTTTGATCTTTGTACTTGTTGGTTACCTTCATCATTCTTACTCATTTCCCCTCTAACTACCCATTACACCTATGACTAACCTAAATTTCAAGCCAAGCCATGTTCAATGGTGCCTAGAAATGCCATCGCATTTAGTAAGAAGCGAAGGCTTGGCCACCACTTCACCGCGAACAGCCTCCAGTGGGATGCCGCATGCCGTCATGCCTCCAAAATTCTCTTCTTTCCTTCCTCTCTCTCCCCTCCACCACTTTCTTCTCATACCTTGAGCTAGCTCTTGAACACTGATTGCCAAATTAAAACCACCAACACACATCGAGTCTGCTTGCTGTCTTGCCAGCTTTATACTTCCGACGCACAGGAAGTGATTTGTCGTTCTCGTTCTCTGAGTGTCACTGGTGATAACCGCATTCGGGCAGTTTCGGGCTCCCCCCCCCGCAGGGTACTTGGATCTTCCGGTTGAGATCCCGACGTAGTCTGGCCTCACCATTGTTCCGAACCTCGTGGCAATCCATGTCCACTTAACCACCTGGTGCTGCATCACTCACAATCCCAGTACACTCACTTCTCAAATCTTCCACGCTCGTGCCAGCGCATATAACCACCTCGCCCCCCATGAATTGCCCTTCACGCACCGACGATACCCTCGAGCATCCCGACTGGAATCAGAACCCGCCCGCCTTGAACGCAGACGTCACCACCCGAAGTGACTTCAACGGGCTCGCCAATTCTAAGGTCCATAGGCGGCACGCGTCGGGGATGGGAGGCGCTTCAGAGGAAGGTGTCTCGGCAATGGATCATCGACCGCATAGTCTAGACGGGAATGAGACCGAGATAGAGGAGAAATGCCCCGGTGGGGTGGTCTCTGTCGCCCCTGGGGATCATATCCCCGGGGAAGACAGCGGATCTCCCTGCCGTTCTTTCAAATCAACTATCTTTTCATATCCTGCCCATGTGGCGCAAAGTCTTGTCAAATTTGCCCGGTTCATAGGCCCCGGCTTTCTGATCGCAGTAGCCTACATTGACCCTGGAAACTACTCTACCGACGTGGCAGCAGGCGCAGAATACCGTTACGCTCTTCTGTTCATCGTGCTTGTCTCCAATTTGTTTGCTATCTTTCTCCAGTCTCTGTGTGTTAAGCTTGGCACAGTGACCGGGCTTAACCTTGCGGAGAACTGTAGGGAACACCTTCCGAAATGGCTCACTATTGTTCTGTACGTCTTTTCAGAGGCTGCCATTGTCGCCACTGATATAGCAGAGGTAAGATCGACTATCTCCAAGCAGCCTGACTCCGTTCCCTAGGCGGAATGTTCAATTGACCGTCCTGGCAGGTAATTGGATCGGCGATCGCGCTCAACCTTTTACTCAAAATCCCTCTAGTTGCTGGATGTGCGATTACTCTAGCTGACGTCCTCTTTATCCTCATCTTTTACCGACCAAATGGGGCCATGTGGGGGTTGCGTCTGTTTGAATTCTTCGTAATGCTTCTTGTACTGGGGGTTGTGATTTGCTTCTGCATCCAGCTTTCGCTGATCAAAGAGCAATCTGTTGGCGATGTATTCCGGGGCTACTTACCATCATCTGCCATCGTCCAATCAGAAGGGTATGTGAGCCGTCATATGATTTGCTTATGCACAGTCCTGACATGTTGGTTGGCAGTCTGTATCAAAGTTGCGGTATTCTCGGCGCAACGGTCATGCCGCACTCGATGTTCCTAGGCAGCGGAGTGGTTCAATCGCGACTGAAGGAATTCGATGTTACTCAAGGCTACGTGGATCCATCCGTCTGCCTCGGAAGCACCGGTGGTGAGGTCGAGTATAGACCCTCCATCCATGCCATTCGGGGTTGCATGAAATACTCAATCATTGAGCTTACCTTGTCGCTCTTCACATTTGCCCTGTTTGTGAATAGCGCCATTCTCATTGTTGCAGGTGCCTCGCTCTATGGCACTCCTGGGGCAGATAATGCGGACCTCTGGGGCATCTACGACTTACTTTCCAGCTCAGTTGCTCCTGCGGCGGGTCTGATATTCGGGTTAGCGCTCCTCCTCTCTGGTATCTCTGCAGGAATCGTCTGTACCATGGCGGGGCAGATGGTAAGCGAGGGGATGTTGAACTGGACCATCAGACCCTGGCTCCGTCGATTGATTACTCGATCGATCAGTATCATCCCTAGCATAATCATTGCGGCTGCCGTCGGTAAGGATGGATTGGACAAGACCTTGAATGCCAGCCAAGTGGTTCTGAGTGTCATCCTTCCCTTTGTCAGCGCTCCTCTCATCTACTTTACATGTCGCAACCGTTACATGACCGTCCCAACTGAGCGGGTCTTCGAGGGCGGAGAATCGGCGCCGGGAGGAGTCAAGATGAAAAACAATCTCTTCGTAACCATCATCGCTGTTATTGTCTGGCTGGTTATTGTGGTGATGAACGTCGCGCTTCTTGTTCTCCTTGGCCTCGGCAAGGCCTGAAGCCTGAGCTGCCAAACAATAATCTCTACCACCGCAGGATTGCGCCAGACTCTAGCCTGGATCGATTCCCGGTCATTCCCCCGTATATAGCTTAGCGAAGGACAGAAAGAAAAAGAAATCAAATTGCTTCATCTGGAAAACTTGAAGGCGAATAGACATGACCCAACTCCGAATGCTTTCCATAATTCGAACACCTAGGCTCAAAGATACTAGACCGCCTCCCCCCCATCCGCTCACCCAAATCAGCTAAGCCCGCCCGCAGGCTCCTTGATCTTACTCTGCTCCGGCGGCTCATCGATGAACTGCGGGGGCGCGACCTCGTCCTGGAGAAAGCTGGGCATGGCACTGTCGGCCATGGCGCCTTCCATCATGGTCTCCTCGCCGAGGGCCTCCAGTTCAGCGTCGAGCTCCGCCTCGTCGACATCCTCCGGCACATCGTAGGCGCGCGAGATGCTCTCCTGGATCTCGTTGCCGATGTCCATCAGGTCGGCCATCTCGTCCTGCATGCGCTCGATCTTGTCGATGTCGATCTGCCCGTACTGCTTCTTCAGGGTCTTGGTGGTCGTCTTCATCGCGTCCACCGTCGTCATCACGTTCTTCAGGTTGTCCTGCATCATCCCCGCCTGCTCCATGTTCCACGACTGCTGCGACAGCTGGTCGCGCTGCGCCTCGTACTGCTTCCGCCGCTGCAGCACCTTCAGCGCCTTCTGCCGCAGGGCCGTCTTGCCGGGCCCGTCGCGCATCTTGGCGATCTTGGTCTGGTAGGTCGAGAGCTCCGAGTTCAGCGCGGCCAGCTTGACGTCAATGCTCGAGATGCGATTCTCTACCTGTTTTTCTCCCGGATAGTGGGTTGGGGTTAGTTCAGGCCATCACAGGTTATGCGTGCGGGGTTTCGGAGGAGGGGGGAAGGGCGGAGAAGCGATAGGAGACAGAGAGGGTGAAAGAGAGAGGGGAGGGGTGAACCGGAAAGGCGAAGGGAAAGTGGGACACTTACATTGCTGATCGCCCCGTCCAGTGTTGGCTTCGGAGCCGTGTTCTTGCTACCGAATAGTCGGTTCATCGTTGGTTTTTCTTCTTTGTGAGGGATGATCAAGAAGGGGAAGATGACGAAGTGAGAAAGAGTTGGGGTTGTGTTTGTGGCACCCGAATGATTGGAAGCTGGAGTGGTTTAGTTGGAGGGCGGGAACTGGGAACTGGAACACTGTCCGTTAGGCAGTAAATAGTCTCGCCGCCTACATTAGAGTATTGGATGTACTTCGAGCACAGCGCGACATCGACTAAACACCGACGTAGACGTCACTTTCTCATTTTGTTCGTGACTGTGTAAGGGTATAGTGACAGGCAACAATATTCATTCTCTCCCGTAATTTGATCTGAAGCCAGACTTTGACGGGACATGGCTGAGCGCTTGCGTACGGAAGTCTTAGCGATTAGCGATCGTGTCAGTACAGTAAGATCTTATCCTAAAATTGGGGATTGACAAGACAGACACTCCACAGGTCATCTGACCAACATTCCAGATTCCACATCGACTACGGAGTACGGACTCTTCGTACCGGGTCTGCCCAACTCTACCTGATTGGGATAATACACAGTCAGGTGCAATCAATACTTCAGTGGCAGGGTGATTAGCAGGCTCCGACGCAATCAACAAGCATTCCGCAGTGATGGAAACGACGGACTAGTCGTACCCGGTACTTGCACCCACACACGAGCGGGTATGGTCAGTGCGGTACCTGATACGTAGGCCCGACCTCCCAGCACCGGCCATGCAAGGAAGCAAGAAATACCAACTGGAACTCGTCTCGTGCAGCCAGCCTGAAGACTCCGACTGTTACTGCGCCTTTCCTTAGTTACATACGTTGTTGTCAAGATAGAGGAATATCTACACAATTATATCACTAAAGAAGAGGAGAACATTGTAGTCTTCATGCTTTATGCCTTTGCCCCCTTCTCTGATTAATCATCCGGGTCGAACTCCCTCCAACCCACTAAGCAATTCCCAGACTGTGAAACTCATCGACCATTCTTATTCATTTCCGCAGGACTAACTAACTAGACTATCCCACTTCCTCCCCCCCTCCCTCTCTTTCAACCCCCCTCTCTTACTCTTCTTACTCTGCCCTCGCGTATCTCTGGTCCCAAAGTTTGCCCTCCCCCCGCCGTCGCTCGGGCGTGTTGGGTATTTCCGCTTGGATCATTCCTCGTCACCTCCAGGGATCAGAGTTACCGACCGATCCAGACACAGCCAGCCAGCCAGCGCAGCAACAGTCCGACTGATTTGCCCTGCGGATGTCAGCCCGCCATCCTTGAACTATTCTTCTTGAGGTACTGTAGTTAGAGTATTTACTGTACTACCCACACACGCCTAGCACCATTAACTGACTTACTGCCTTAACCTCCATTCATCATCCCCATTACGCACTATTCCTGCTTCATCTAACTGACTGACTCGTTTCACCCCGTGCAGCGCAAGGCTGACGAACCCCGATTCCTCCCTCCCCTTGTTGAGGATTCTACCACCGTTTTCTCTTCTCTTGTCACTCCCTCAGGTTGTGAAAGGTATGTGTGCTTTGCTTGAATTTTATATGGTGTATTTTTCTTTTAAACTTTTATCCTCCGCTTGCTGGGCCTTCAGGTCTGCCATCTGGTGAATTCTGCAGTCGCGGCCGCAATGCCTGACCCGGTCATTGTGTTGCCTGCCTGAAGTCTGCCCTGCTATCCTCCGATCCTCGGGCGAAGCCACCCCTAATGTTCCCGACCCTCACAATCAACGTTTCTGTCCTCCCTCCTTCATGATCATGACGCTCAACGCGCGAAGAGGTTTGCTAACTGGGATACTCGGCGCATCTAGCGCTTGGACGCTCCGACCAGGCTCATCTCTGCTTACGAAATTTCCGATCTCACTTTCTATACCTGGAACGCGTGAACATAACGAACATTACACTTGCGATCCCGCCTTCATACACAAACTTCTCATTCACGACGATCTGAAACATTGCATGGGTTGTCCCATAGGCTAGAGGCTTTGGACACTCTCACGGCTCTTGTAATATACAACAGGTCTCAGTCGCAACGTTTTCGACGGAGGACTCCGGCCGCTAAAAAAATCCGCATTCTACCGAATCTTCTTTCCATGACTCGGTTTGGCCGGTTATATAAATCATCATGTTTTGGCGTTTTGGAGGATATGCAAGTATCTCCAGCATTGATACTCTGCTAGACAAGCCCGATGTCAACCTGGAGGAGCTGCTGGATGAGTCGGAACTGATCCAGGAACTCAAGCAAAATAATACGAAGCTCATAGAATTCTTACGAGAGGATAATGTCTTGAAACGGCTTATGGACTACGTGATCGCTCCATCGCTAGTGAACGACGATGATGACGAAGACGATGATACCAATGACAGCAACGCCACGGAGTCGAACAACGACGCATCGGCGGTGGAGGAGAAACACAACGACCCGCTCAGAGATATGCTGGACCCAGAGGACCTGGAGCGGGCAGAGAAGGATCGGTTGAAACGGGCGTATGTCGCATGCGAAATCCTGTCATCCGAAATCTGGTCAATCGTGGAGTCGATTATGTTGAACCCGGATCATCTGAAGCACTTTTGGGGCTTTCTGAAGCGTCCTTCGTCCTTGGACTCTGTCCAGGCGAGTTACTTCACAAAAGTCAACGAGACGCTGTTTGACAAGAAGACGACCGAGATGCTGGACCTGCTGAAGTCCATGGATGGCGTGGTTCCGGCCATCCTCCGGCATGTGGATAACCCCATGGTCATGGATCTTTTGTTGAAGATTATCAGCTTGGAGAAGGTTGAAGGCGGCCAAGGGATTGTTGATGTGAGTTCCTAAAGCCATGGAATCAGGTGCTTGTAACACAAGCTGACCATTCTCTTAGTGGCTGAGGGCCCAAAACCTCATACCGACCTTGCTATCGTTCTTGTCGCCGGAATACCCTGCCTCCGTCCAAACCTCGGCAGGTGACTTCTTGAAAGCAATCATCACCATTTCGGCAAACGCAACGCAGAATGACCAGTCCTGCATCGGCCCTAATAGTCTCACGCGGCAATTAGTCTCCACAACCTGCATCGAGACTTTAATCAAATCCATGCTGAAGGGTGGAAACCCACTGACGGTCGGTGTGGGCATTATTATTGAAGTTATTCGAAAGAATAACTCAGACTATGACCCGGAGAACATCAATGGGCCGGACTCACCACCCACGACATATGATCCTATCTACCTTGGGAACCTTCTCCGACTTTTTGCCAAGCACATACCCGACTTCATGGCCTTGATCAAGAGCTCCAAGCATACGGTCAATGATGGTGGAAAAGTGAAGACTGTTGAAAGGGGAAAGCTGAACTCGGCATGGGGCGCAAAAATCGAACCCCTGGGCTTCGATAGATTCAAGACCTGTGAGCTGATGGCGGAACTGCTACACTGCAGTAATATGGGTCTGTTGAATGAGCCAGGAAGTGACGAGTACGTCCGACAACGCGATGCTGAGCGCGAAAGGCTCATGCGTGAGGGTGCCTTCAACGCGCACAGAGAAGAGACGTCCGCCTTCGATGGAAATGACTCTACTGTGGACTTCGTGAACGGATCTGTTATTGGTTACGGGTCACCAGAAGGTTCGAGGGTTCTTGAAGTTGCCAACACCGGCGAGGAGAGCTTCGAGGATGTGAGCGCATCCGGCGTCCTTGTTGACAAAGAGAAGGATGCGGGGGTCAGGGAAGCGAACCTTCCCAGCCCCAAGTCTGAGCCTGAACCTGTTTCACACAGCTCTGAATCTGCAGATGTCACAGACTCGGCTGCGAATGAGGCACTCGGAAGCAAGACAGAAGATTCTACACGGGCGCACACCACGGAGACTGATACCACGTCTGGTTTGGCAGATCAAATCCAAGAAGTCAGCCTCGACGGTGGGCAATCCGCCAAGCCGCATGAATCGTCTGCTGTGACTACAACTGAGCCAGCCAGTCAGACGCAGCCCTCTCTTGATGCGGACCCTGCCCCCAATCAAGATAATCAGCCACCCAGCTCTTCCTCGCCTGATACTGCTGGCCAGGTCGGCGATGCTCCTTCTTCACAGCGGCCACTGCATCCTGACATTCAGGTTGATTCCAATGGGCAGCCTGTGGTTGGCGATTATCTCAAGATTATGTTCGTAGAAAACCAGGTTGTTCCCACCATCTTGGTTTGTCTCCCCTTAAATGCCCCATGTTATGGGATTAGGATTAACAGCATCGCAGGATTTCTTTTTCCGGTTCCCGTGGAACAACTTCCTTCATAACGTCGTCTACGACGTCGTACAGCAAGTCTTCAATGGCCCAATGGAACGTGGTTACAACCGGATGCTGGCTGTTGATGTCTTCGAGACAGGTCGGATAACGCAGAGCATTGTCGACGGACAGAAGAGAAGTGACGAAACCCAGCGCACAAGACAGATTCGTTTGGGCTACATGGGTCATCTCACATTGATCGCTGAGGAGGTCGTCAAGTTCAGCGAACGCCACCCACCGGAGCTGCTTTCACCGACTGTGATGGAAAGTGTCCTCAACCCCGAGTGGATTGACTATGTCGAGCAAACGCTCTCCGAGACAAGGGAACGTGACAATGCCATTCTTGGTGGCGTACGGCCGGACATGTCCATCGGGCATCGGCAAGGCATGATCAACTCAGGCCAGAGCGCCAACGCTTCATCGGCGCTTGCGGATGCAGGGCTTAATGGTTCTACGGGAAATTCTGGCTTCCAAGGTTTTGACATGATGAATCAAGGAAGCGTATCCGGTGGGGCTTTCGGACTTGGTGGGAATTCTCTCCTGAGCGGGTTCGCCAGCTCGAGTGACGACGAGGACGAGGAAATGGAAGACCAGGACGATAGAAACCTGGCCGATCAATCTGCCGAAGGCGGATCAGACAATGTGGGTGATCACGATTTCACAGATATCGATATGCGCGATGCTTGAACCTCCCTTAATTTATGGCCGAGGCGATTCTTATCGACCCAGGCCGCCCCATATATACCCGCCCTTTCCTCACGTCGAGGCCCTTGACTGTTTCGCTCTCAACCCGGACCGCTGGAAATTTAGACACATGATGGATGACGGGAGTGGTACGGGCCATACAGGGCCTGGCACAACGTGTTGGACTGGCAGCGCTTCTCCATATGT